AGAGGTCTTCAGTTAGCCACTGTTATGCAAATACCACGCATGGCTTTGAGCTTTTCGGAAGGTGATATTCGTTATCTTCTTGTGCCAGTTGAACACTAATGCTTCCAATGCTCTCCATGACCTTATTTCCTTATCTTGCTACCATGAATGGGCCTTGCGATTACACCCGAAAGGAAGGAATAACAAGCTTTTCTGCAGAACAATTTGGCAATAGGTGTGAAGAATATTAAAAATGTTTATAACCTTTGGCCTAGTAATTGACTGTCTGGTACACTATCTCAGGGGAATATTCTAAAATGTGGGCAAGGCTTTATTTGAAGAGTGTGTTAAAAAGGGGTGAGGCATCAATTGCCTAATAATAAATTAATGATTGTCAAATTATGGTAAATAGAATTATATGAGAGAGTATGTCATGACAATTTTATTAAAATGGTGTTTTTAGCAAGGTTTTGATAAATGGTGGGAACAAGCTTGTGGTATTATGATCATTTAAAAGCAGAATAGATTTAGATATAGATTGTATAGATCTGATATAGAGAGTGAGATCTATCTATCTGTCTATCTATCATCTATCTATCCTACCAACCCATAATTTGTACAAATAGCCCAGGCTTAGTAAGATATTGGAAGACTAGAACCAGAATCCTGTACATTGGAGAGGCTCCTTAACCTTCTCCATTCTTGAAAAAGCATATTAAGACTTGAGTAAAATGAATTTCGGACCTACTTTCCTTGAAATTAGAAAAGAAGTATCTTACAAATATTGGTAAGAACTGATTGCTAAAGAATTATTTCTAAGAGATGCCATTATAAGTAATAATCAATCCAAGAAATATAGATGTATTAGTTCCCTAAGGCTGCCATAACAAAGTACCACAAACTGAGTGGTTTAAACAACAGAAATCTGCTCTAAGGTACTGGGGGTCAGGACTTCAGCACATGAATTTTGAGGTGGGAAGAGCACAATCTGACCCATAACAATAGGTGTAGAGTATGACTGAAGTGATCTTTTCATAAGCAATACAGGCAGAGGGAGGGAAAGAAACTGACGTGGATTGAATAGTCATTATGTATTGGCTGAGGGATAGTCTCAAATTTATCTCCTTTAAGCCTCAAAATAGCCCTGGGGATTAGATAGTAATCCTTTCATTTTGCAAACAAAGTAGCTGAGGCTCAAAAAATTAAGCAGTTTGCATAAGGTCATTCATTGAAAAAGTGACCAACAAAAATATCACATACAAATTATTTCCCCAAATTCCTGCTTTTAAAATACTATTTGGTTTCCATTGAAGTGAATATTTTGAAGCTTTGGGGATGCATTAATTTTCACGCATGCTTAAAATCTCGAAAGCGGATGCATTTGTCAGGTTACTAGTGATAGAGAAATAGTGAGAATTAATAGAATGATGTTAGAAGTCTCAAATTTCATATCTGTCATAGCCAGATATGTGACATAGAGCAAATCACTCAACTTCAATTGCCACAAGGCAGATAAAGTAAATTTGGACTAGATATTCAATGTTCTTTCTGAATTCTATGGTTCTTTGAAAATTGGTGCTTTTTAAATTGTTTAGACTATTCTAAATCTATTTCACTTCTTTTCCTTCTTTTCAAGTATTCCCTGGCACACAATGAAAATAGAATCATTACATTTATACACAGAAATTCACTGAGTACAATTTGAAGCAAATGATAGTCCTTAGTATTTTTCCTTGGCACATTCTATTTCTCCTCTTTCCAATCTCTTTTTGTTTTTACTCAATAATTCATATAAGTATCTTCCTATATCAATTGTGTAAAATATTACATCAAAATTTAAGTTGCTACAGAGTATTCATCACATATTTTATTTGTTTTTTTATTTCAACATATTACGGGGGTACAAATGTTTAGGTTATGTATATTGCCTTTGCCCAACTTGAGTCAGAGCTTCAAGCGTGTCCATCCCCCAGACAGTGTGCACCGCACCCATTAGGTGTATATGTACCCATCCTCTCCTCCCTCCTCCCATCTGCCCAACACCGGATGAATGTTACTATTATATGTGCACTTAGTGTTGATAAGTTAATATCAATTTGATGGTGAGTACATGTGATGCTTGTTTTTCCATTCTTGTGATACTTCACTTAGCAGAATGGACTCCAGCTCTATCCAGGATAACACAAGAGGTGCTAGATCATCATTGTTTCTTGTGGCTGAGTAGAACTCCACGGTATACATATACCACATTTTATTAATCCACTCATGTGTTGATGGGCACTTGGGTTGTTTCCACATCTTTGCAGCTGTGAATTGTGAATCTCTCCATTAGATAGTCTATTTCATTCATAGTTTCTAATTATAACTTATTGCCTATTAACACCCCAAGCTTGTTCTCAGCCTTCATCTTATGCTTTTGTGCATTAGTTGGCATCAGTGATATGTCTAAACTTTCTTGTTCTTTGGCTTCCATTAAATTTTGCTGCCACTCTGATTTTTTTTGCCAGCCCCTCCTTTTCCTTCTGGACCCAAATGTAGGCTCTCTCAGCATTTATATTTTTGAACTTCTCATTCAACATTCTATTTTCATCTATAATCTCCATACCTCTGGCTCCCCAAATGAAATCTCAAGTTCTAGACTTTCACCTATGCCCAAGATCTTCATTGTGAAGTGAATAACAAGTGATATTTGCCCCTTGCTATTCTATTCTTCTACCTGTTTTTAGGGGATTGAATGGTGTCCCCCCAAAATACAAGTCCACATCCTAGCCCCCCAAACCTGTGAATGTGACCTTATTGGGCAAAAGGGTCTTTGAAAATATAATTAAGCTAAGGGCCTCAAGATGAAATCTCCAGGATTGTCTGGGCGGGCTCTAAATTCAATGGCAAGTGTCTCTTAAGAAACACCCAAAGGAGAGAGACAGAGACAAGAGGGGAAGACTACGTGAAGACCGAGGCAGAGATTAGAGTTATGCAGCCACGTGCTATGG